AAGTTGAGCTGCAGTCAGTGTCTCCTTCATCTGCCTCGGGAACTGCTCTTTATTCAAAGCCCTGCTCCAGGGGTCTCCTCTCTGAGGCCCTTCCCAATCTCCCCAGTCAGAATTCACCCTTCTTTACTCCCTCAATATCTAAACATAGTTCTCCTTTGTATGAATCACTCTTCTCAGTCGTGTTCATTTGTGTTTAAGTCTGTCTCTCATTCGGGAGCTCCCTGAGGACAGCCTTTCATATGCCACTGCACTCCATGGCTCCTGGGAAGTGTTCAGCTAATGTTTGTTAAACTGAACTGAACTAAGATGATTCCTCTACCTTCTGTCCTTTCTCCTCCAGACCCCCATGACTCCAGGCACACGGACTGTGACCCTGTAGGTAGTCCTGCCTCAGTACCCGAGGGCCCCCATGACTCCAGGCACACAGACTGTGACCCTGTAGGTAGTCCTGCCTCAGTACCCGAGGACCCCACTAAATGCGAGCTCTCATGTCACACTCCCAGGTACTCCAAATCACCACTCAGGGGAAGAAAAACCTTATTCTATATTTTTTATTTTTTAATATTTTACTTTTATTTTTTATAATTATTCTTCAATTTTGACCAGAGAGAGATAGACAGAGAGAAATGGAGAGTGAGAAAGCAAGCTGCCAGGTCTGGGACTTGAGCCATGGTTGGCCATGTGGGAGTCCAGCCACCACTCCACCTGCCAGTCTTCCTAACCTATATCTTAAGCTATCTGTTAGTGGCTTTGTCATCTGCTATAATTTTATGCCCTCTCCTTTTATATATCATTTTTAGATTTTTGTTGTAGAGCATGTGCACTCACAGGAGAGAGACAGAGACAGGGAAAGTGAGAAATGACCCCCCCAGGCAGATGGCCACACCACAATCTTCTTCATTCTCCTCTCAGGACTTTGGGCATGCACACATACCTGGTGTGTTTCAAGCCTCTGGGTCCAAGACTCAAACTGTGGAGTTGGCCCTGTGGCGTCCAGAGCTGCTGGCCCACACCCTCTACCTCTGGGAGACTTTATTCAGTTCCTGCTCTAACCCATGCTAATTTTGGAACTGCGATGCTGATGCCCATGTGGCCACTTGGGCAGATGTTTGAGACTCCTGACCCTCACCTAGCATTTTAGATTTCCTGGACTATCAGCAGCTTGGGGCAGAAGCAAGTTGGCCGAATTGTGATGACTATTAAGGTTTATTCTGCTCTTCTTTCTCTCCCCACCCCACCCCTCCTCCCAACCCTGTACCTTCTCTCCACTCCTCATAAAGCCAACTCTAGAGAAGCAGAAAGGATCAGATTTCAAACATGCCCAGCATCATTCATTCAATACCCGATGAGCACCTGCTACGTACCAACTCTCCAGTGGGGATCGAAAATGAACGTGACAGCTGAAGGCCCCATCCTCACAGATCTTCAGGACTGCTGTCTGCAGTTAAGAAGCCCCAGTGGCAACGTGGGTTAGGAAATGAGGTTATTTTTTTCCACTTGGGTTTCTGAAGGGGCAGTCCACACTTGCTTCTTTTTCTTTGCCTTCCTGTCACCTCCTGACCCTCTATAACCCAGCTCTCCCATTGAACATTCTTTCCGACCTCCTCAGTGTTTTTCCGTTGTTAAATCCAGTAGACGTCTTTCAGCTCTTTTCTGATCTGACCTCTCTGCAGCTCAGTAATGTTAAGTACTTCTTTAAGTACAACTATAGGCTTAGGCAAGGCCCTCTTCTGGTTGTTTTTCCTGCCTCTCCAGACCCCCTCAACTTTCTCTGAAGACCCTTCTTACTGCCTTCCTGCATTCTTCTCTGACAGTTCTCATTTCCTGACTCTGAGGTCACTGAACACAGTCACGTCCGGACACGTGAGTGGAGCAGCAGTCACAAATTGTGACAGTGCCTGACTTGAAGCTCCTCTAACACCGTGCTGGTCCCTATTTCAGTGTGGGGCTTTTGTGCTTCTTCCTCCTGGGATGTTCTGTATGTAAGTGCTCTGCATCCCCGGGTAGGGATGACTGGTCACCCCTGACCTCTCCATTTGGGAAATACTCTTATTTAGGCTGCTGCGACAAGACACTCTTTTCTTCTCATTCCCGTGAGCACCTTCTCAGTCTCCTTCACGGATTCTCCACCATGGCACGATATGAATGCTCTGCGTTGAACTCACGACCCCCTGAAGCTGCCTGGGAACAAATGCTCTTCTCTGTGGATCATCTATAAGCTCTAGTTTTAAAAATCAGGGTATCCAGACGTGGTGTCTTGAAAACCATGCCAGATACATGGCATGCATGCCTAAAATCCTGAAGGGAACATGGAGAATAAAGGATTGCAGTGACTTGCACCCAAGGAGGGTCCCTTCTTGCTTTCCCTCTCTCTCTCTCTCTCTCTTTCTCTCTTTCTCTCTCTCTCTCTCGTTGAGCACAGATGCCATCTAGCAAATTTTTGAAAACTCAACATATCTTAACAATAACTTATATATTTCAGAATAGTAGAGGAGAGGATTTTTAATATTCCCAACACGAAGTAACAATAAACATTTGAGATGATGGATATTCCAGTTACTCTGATTTGATCATTATACATTGTATTCATGTACAGGAAAAATCACTTTGTACTCCATAAATTATGTGTTATTGTGTGTCAATGAAAAAATGATAAAACGTGTGAGTAAAAGCAACCATATTCCATAAGTATTTTTAGAATCCACAATTTTCCTTTGTAGCATGGCACCCATAAGATTTTAAATTATGCCTATACAGTGTCCAAAAATATTCTTACTAAAAATGGTACAACTATGACTTTCTTAAAAAAAATCCTAATTAGCTTTATTTGTGATCTGAATTTGGCAACATTTCATACCCATAAAATAGCATAAGTGTTCAATGAACTGAGCAGAGGAGGTTGGTGTTATAGACAGAGAAGAGAGGAAGAAAGCAGAAACAGAACAGAAAGTGGGTTGGCCATTTCAAAGTTATTTTCTTTGTAAGATGTAATAGGGAGATGGAAAAATAAGGGGAAAAATTGATTAGTATTATGATTTTGACTTTAAGATTCTTTGAAACTTTTTGCCCCAAAGGATGATTCATCCAAGATGTCCAAATGATTGTTCTTTTTTTTGGGGGGGGGGAATTTTGTTATAGGGGGTGTGCGCTCACTGTAGAGACAGAGAGTCAGAAAGCAACAAATCACCCCCCCCCAGGGGGGCTGGCTACACCACAATCCCTTCTCCTTCCATCTCTTCTTAGGATTTTGGGCACACACACAAGCACCCAGCTGAGTTTTAAGCCACCAAGTCCGGGACTTGAACTGCAGTCGACTACGTGGGAGTCCAGAGACATAACCATTTTGCCATCTGCTGGCCCCCCAGGTGATTGTTCTTTTTTATTTGCATTTAGGGTGGGATGAAGTGGCTTACGCTCACTGGATGGCATGTAGGGCAACGTTCCTGTGTGACATACCTCCCACGGCACTTCTGCTGGGGGGAAATTGATGGCTAGACAAATAGAGAATTTATGTCCTGAGCATTATCACCCACAGTCTGTTCTTTCCGGTGCTGTAAGTTACTCAGGGCTTCAGAGCAGGATAAGAAACCAAGTATTTCATTAGCTCACCCACAAAATACAAATTTATCATTTTATTGTTCTTTGGCTGCCACATGGTTTAGCACTGTCAAATTTCTTTCCTGTCTGTGGCATTTGGGCAAGAGCTCCGTCAGCACCCAGCCAGCCAACTCAGGGGTCAGCCACAGAAAGGTCGTGCTTCCTCCCCACAGGATGGGCTACATAACCTGAGGGTCCCAGTGCAGAATAATAATGTGAAACTCTTTACTGAGAAATTCTTTAGAATTCTGAGACGGCACCTGGATTGGTTTGAAGCCTCTGAAGGCAGCCCACTTGTTCTGCCACACTGCTCCCTCTTTAAAAATCTGACTTTTTCCTGCTTGTTTGGGACAGTGTGAGAGGGGTTAGCACCTTCCCCATGTAGTCGAGTTTAACCCAAGTTCTCACATCTTACAGGGCAGAGAAGGAAGCCTCAATCCACTTGCAAATTTGGTGATGGAAGCACAGGTTGTTAGAGTGATCTCTGCGGGACATGAGGGTGGCCTCTGTTGTGGGCTGTGGAAGAATTCACAAACTTAGAGAGGACGTAGACAGAAAAGAATGTATCCACTTCCCAAAGGGAGGAAAGGAGCCAGATGCAGACAGTGGCATTAGCCCAAAGGATGGGGGGCAAGGAGCTTTCATCGGGGCCTACAGAAGGGGGTGCTGGGGTTGGGTATGAGGGTGAGCCATGTGTTGGTCCTGGAGTTGTCTCACTGTTACCTTCACATGTCACCTATGGCTGCTGTAGTTACTGGTATTCTGACTTTAGTTTTGGTGCTAACTGTTGACAGATGTTACACTCTTACGTCTGAAGGCAAGAACTTAGAAAATATAAGGTCAGCTATCTGCAATGAAGTCAAGAAAGGGCCAACTAACCCAGGAAGAAAAAGGGGGAAGGAGAAAGAATGTCTGAAGCACCTGGGAGTTTTAGATGGGTCTTCCCAATGAGAATACCTAAGGCCAGGGAGACAGTGCGTTAACCCTGTTCATCCCTAAGGCACTTAGGAAACATTTAACCCTTTCATTGACTACACAGAATTACTAGTCAAAAGGAGGCAGGTAATATTTTAAAGAAACTAGCTCTGTTCTGGTAGAGATTAAATTTAATAGCATTTCGGTATTACTCTAGGTTTTTGTTTGTTTGTTTGTTTTTGTTTTGTTTGTTTTGTTTTGTTTTTAATTAGGACTCTCTGTAACCGCATCTCAGCTCTGGTTTAAGAGTAGAAGAAACAGCTATATTTTATAGCAAGCTGTTATCTTTTTCCTTCAACTATATTAACATTTTATTTTTAAATTTTAAAGTCTTTCAAGAAATATATGAGAACCAGTCCGTCACAATATTGTGGGACGGGAATGGCAGTCACGGCTGAGGACTCGTTTCTCTGATGAGGAAATACATTTCGCTAAACGTGCCCTGCAGATCGCTAACGTTATATGATGACAAGACTCCATACTCTAGTAAGACTGGGAAATACGTGCTGCCTACAGATCCACATAAAATGTTCTTAGATGTCCTGACATCTAAAGGAAAAGGTATGTGATTTAGCTTTGTATAATCCAGTCTTGCCCAAATGTATTTAACCACAGAAACCTTGCTTTGTGACAGCTACTAAAATCCCCCAGAACTGTACCGATGGGCACGCTCTCTGCTGAGCTGAGTCTGCAAGATCGTTCGCAGGGCCAGTACTGGGAGCACCTTCGGATTCTGTTCTGTGGAATCGGGCCTTAACTCAGTTCACAGGACAGGCAGCCCTGGGGCGGTCACTGACTCTCACACACACGCAGCTGGAAGTCGAGCTGCATTTTGAGCCAGGGTTTGGCTCTAGAGCCCAGCACAGCTCTCAAAACGTCCCGAGAGTGAAAAGGAAACAACATAAAGTATTTATCACACCTTACAAATTCACGCTCTGACTTCTGAAGCTTAGTCTTTCAGAAGATAAATGGAATGTTCTTGGTAGATTTTTCACAAATGAAACAATGAATCTGCTTTCTCATAGGGCTGCCATGTCTTACGAGGCATAGGAGACAAATCTTCCTCTCCACAGCAAAGCTAGGCCCAACAATACACCAAGTAAGGAAGACACAGAATGCACACCCCCTTTGTGGATAGTGGGCGTTGATGAGCTCTCTTTAATACTGGTAAGCGGAAACTAATACAGAGAACGCTGTAAATCTCACTAGGATCATTATAAAGATAACGGTGTGGGATCAGCAGTTAGCGTAATGGCTATGTCTCTGGACTCCCACGTAGTCGACCGCGGTTTGCGTTCTGAACCCAGTGGCTTAAACTCACGCCTGGCGCGTGTGTGTGCGTGCCCAAGATCCCAAGAGGAGAATGGAGGAGAAGAGATTGCACCGTGGCCATCCCCCCTGGGGGGTGATTTCTCACTTTCTGTCTCTTTGTCTCTCTGTCTTTCTGGCGAGCGCACGTGCCCTATAGCAAAACCTCTCAAAGAAAAAGAATGATAATGGTGTTAGGAACTTAACCTTAAAAGAAAATCTACAAGTGTCTCTTAACCAGCTATCAGAGGCACCTATACCAAAATCAGGAAGATCATCAGGTGTGCATTAACTCATTTTAAAAACAGCTTTATTGAAATATAATTCACAAACCACACAATTTACCTAAAGCGTATAACCTTTTTTTTTTTTTTTAGAGGTTTTTGCTACAGAAAGTGAGAAATCACCCCCCAAGAGGGGATGGCCACATCACAATCCCTTGTCCTCCATTCTCCTCTCAGGATCTTGGGCACACATACACAAGTGCCTGGTGTGAGTTTAAGCCACAGGATCTGGGACTCGAACCACAGTCGGCTACATGGGAGTCCAGAGACATAGCCATTATGCTAACTGCTGGTCCCAAGAGCGACCACTTTCAGCAGCTGGCAAGGAGGTGACAGTTTCAGTCGCTCCTGTGGACTGCGAGCCTGCTCCCAGAAGAACCACAATTTCCTAAGGGCACCTCTGGGGCAGGACAGGGGCAGCGCACGTGCAGCGTCTACACAGGGAGTCTGGAAACAAGGCCCAGAGCAGATCCCTCTGCAATACACAGGACAACCTCTGAAAACTCCCTAAGTTTTTTTTTTTTTTAATTTATTCGTTTCTTTCATAAGAGAGAGATAAGCACCTTCAGCAGTCTCAGGCGATGATGACTTCCTCCCCAGACGTCCCAGCCAGCCAGGATCGCAGGCACACATCCTTGGCGTGTGTGTCCAACCCGAGCCTGATCTTCCCTATGGACCCAGCATCACCTGAGCGGTAAGTTACCTCCGTGTCGTCACCACGGAGCTGGGCGAGGGCTGGCTATTTCCTGGCACTCAGTCGGTTTGAGATTACACAGGAAGTGCGTTTCTACCTGTGACGGCAGACTTAGGAAGCTGGTCGGAAAAGCCGTGGTGCAGCGCTATTTGTGTTGACTCTGCTTACGAGCACTTCCCGTGACAAAAGTCCTCCCATCTGGGGCCGGGAGTGGGCACGTGACCCACGTGTGGTACCCAAGGCCACTGGGACTGCTTCAGGTGTGAGCACAGAACCAAGAGGGAGCCCACGGGATGTGCCCTCGACGGACCGGAGCCTGACTTCCACGGTAACGAGGCGTCTGTAACACGTCTGCAGAAACGCACGTGTGAGTGGTGTTCAACTTCGGGGACTCCTACGAATGTTGTCGTGCACGGACAGGGCTGCCCTCACCCACGGCTTACAGACTGCAATACTTAGGGGTGGAGTTATTTGAAATCTCATATTTGAAAGAAGAATAGACGAAACAAGATGATCTTTTCAGTATTTTAAATACCTTCCTGCACCTTTCCTCTTTCAGATGAAATTTTGAATAATCTTGTCAAGCTTTTTTTCCTTTTAACCTTTATTTATTTATTTACCTATTATTTGTTGTGATTTTCATGCCACAGGTCCAGGACTCAAACCACAGTTAGCCATGTGGGAATCCAGTGCCTCACCCACCATGCCACCTGCTGGCCCCAATCTTGTCAAACTTTTAAGAATTCCTTTGAGTTTTAGATTATAGTTGAATTATATTTATATATTATTCTGGGAGATTTTTTAAAAGCCCCAAATACTTGAATAAACTTCCTGAACATGGTTTACCTATCCTAAAAGACCTTCGTGAGAGATTATAAAATCTATGGTACTTCTTTTTTTTTCTTTGAGAGGTTTTTGCTATGGGGCGTGTACGCTCGCCAGAAAGACCGAGAGAGACAGAGAGACAGAAAGCGAGAAATCACCCCCCAGGGGGGATGGCCACGCCGCAATCTCTTCTCCTCTATTTTCCTCTCCGGATCTTGGGCACGCACGCACATGCGCCGGGCGTGAGTTTAAAGCCACCAGGTCCGGGACTCAAGCTGCTGTCGGCTACATGGGAGTCCAGCGACATAGCCATTACACCAACTGCTGGTCCCAAATGTGCAGTACTTCTGATTTTCTTTTCAAAAGCCTTGGCATGACCCTTTAAAATGCTGAGTTCTTCGTTTTATGTTTCTAATTGCTTTTTTTCCTTTCTCCCTCTCGTTTGCTCTTTCTCTCTTCCTTTCTTTCAGAGTGTGCCTGCACTGGAAGTATAATGGGCAGTGAGGAATCAAGTAAAATTAATAATACAGTCTATATTTATCTCTGAAGTACGTCTGAGTCAGAGAAATCTTCTTGTAGCCAGGTCCTGTATTTTCATTAAGGTCACTGGCACCGTCCAAGCGCGATGGCCACGTGCCTATCTTTGGAAACGGGGCTCCCCCTGCTGGTAGACTTAGCACCTTCTACCGCATCCGTTTCTCAGAGCGTTCTAAGATCAGCCTCTGCGAACTCTTGGCTAGGCTGCCCACCAGGTGAGACTTACTGACGTGGATTGTCAAAGGTGATACACTGCGCAAACCAGGGACGGGAAAGGTGAGGGACTGCTCTGAAGAAGGCAGTGAGCGGTGCTTTGGCAGGTGCTCTGTAAGACACGATTCGCAGATTCGCTCATTTGTGTGATGGAAACGCGTTTGCGCTGGCTCATTCCACGCTACCGTGAAGTGGTTGAATGCAGATGGGGAGAGATGCTTTAACTGCCTCCCGGGCGCCGCGGGTTGGAGGATCCGGGAGGCTAAGCTGAGCCTGGAGCTCTGTGATGTGAGAGCAATGCTCGCAGTAGGAAAAGCAAGCGTTCTGAAGTAAGAAGGAAGTTTACATCCAGCTTCACTGCTCTCTAGCTCTGGGCAAAGTGTTCTTTGAATCCAACTGTTCTTAGTCTCGAACAGGAGCTGATAAAACCTACCTTGCAAGATTATTGAAAAAAATTAAATAGGGACATATATGTAAAATATCACCCTGGGGGGGGTAGTCGAGGCGGTGGACTCCCACGTGGCTGACCACGGCTCAAGTTCCAGATGTGGCGGCTTGCTCTCTCTCTCTCTCTCTGGTAAGCACATGTGCCCTATAGCAAATTAAAAGTAATAATAATAACAACAATAAATTAAATTTTAAAAATCTTTTTAAAAAATCACCTTTCAGAGCATGTGTTTAATCAATGGCGAGTTAACTAGGAATGCAGATGACGGACCACCCGGGCTGGAGGCCAACACAGTGAACGCAGAGGTGCCCCCACGCTGGACAGGAGCTGCTCCACCAGGCCCACTCCTGCCCTCTGACCCAAGAGTCTAGTCTAGAAGACAGTCTGCTTAGCTGACTTTGGGGAGGTCATTCCGGTCATAATGAGGGATGTATATTAGTAGAATACGGAACACTAATACCAGGTGTGTATTGTATCCTGACTTGGCTTTTCTCCATAAGAGGCAAGAAAAGGCAGTTGCTAAATAATTGTGACTACATTGTTTTGGGACGTCTGGGCCAAGCCAATGGCAGAGGAACAAGGGATACCTGCCTCCTGTTGACTCCTGCTGGAGGTTGCGTAGTTGGGGTGGGGGTTGCTGGTGGTGTTGGTATTTATCTGCAGATCTTACTCTTAGGAAAAGAGCAGCCCTTTGACAATCCTGACTTTATGTAGGTCTCTTGGTTCCAATGTCCCACCTGATGAAGACCCGGGGTTTCCTTCATCCCCTGTCTCTACTGAGGCATTGAAGAGATGCCCTAGGCAACGGAGAACGAGCAGACACCTGGGTGACAGACGAGGAACCCATCCTTTGGCAGCCAGAGTGTCACCTCTCAGACGTATCTACATTAAAAACAGAAACAAATAAATACATGTCTTACCGTTCAGCCAGCGCTCCTAGATGTGTTAGTGGAAGATCTTTCAGGTTATCTACGCCACAAGTAGCCGAGACTCACGACAGCTGTCAGACCGGCTCTTTCAGCCCTCTGACCCTGTATTCCGACCAGTCTCTAATTCTACCCCCCGAACCTCCCGTTTCAAACCCTGTTCTTCCACTCAGCTTCCCATCTCCCCTTGCTCTTCAACCTTGGCTCCCCCAGCCCTGCCCACGTCCCCTGCTCTGCAACCAAACTAATAAACTTGGGTCCACAGTTTCAGATGCCACTTGGTGTGAGAAAGTCCAATATAGTAGATGCCTTTTCAATTGTAAGAAAAATAAAAGCAGATGGGAACCAGCAGTTAGCATAATGGCTATGTCGCTGGACTCCCACGTAGTCGACCGCAGTTCGCGTCCCGGACTCGGTGGCTTAAAACTCATGCTGGGCGCGTGTGCGTGCGTGCCCAAAATCCCGAGAGGAGAATGGAGGAGAAGGGATTGCGGCGTGGCCATCCCCCCCGGGGGGGGTGTGATTTCTCTCTGTCTCTCTTTGTCTGGCAAGCACACGTGCCCTATAGCAAAAACGTCTCAAAAATAAAATAGCTTTTTCTCAACTCACTAGGAAGGCTGTTTTTAAAAAAATGGAAAATAACTGTTGGCAAGGATGTGGAAAATTAGAATCTTTGATAGGAATGTAAAATAGTTTAGCCACTATGGAAAACCTCATGACAGTTC